TTGACACGTGCCCCACAAAAAGGGCTAGGTTTCAATCCTCACTCTATAGTGAAACCAATCCTGCCTCCCCCGCTCCCCAGTCAGCAAACTCTGCATAGACTATCTGATGAAAGTCTCATTCATAACGCCTTGAATGTTTTTTTGAATCTAAAAGAAAGGAGGAAGAAGAAGAAACCCAGAAGTAACAGAAAGTAGAGAAAGAGGAGATGACAAAATTCTACTGTTGCTGTTAATAAATAATAATAATAATAATAAATAAGAAGAATTAGGGGGTAAATGTTTTCATATTGAAAGGCCTCATGAAATGCCCAGCACAATGAATTAAAAAACACCAAAACAGAGACTTAGCACCGTGAACTTTTAGAATACTGGAGTTAAAGAGTAAAATTCCAAAAACTTCCAGAAAGAAGAATCAGCTCACATAAAAAGGATCAGGAATCAGAATGTTATCAGGTTTCTCAGTTGCTACATGCAAAGTTAAGTGGCAGTGAAACAATATTTTAGAAATTTCAAAGGGAAATTATTTCAGCCTTAAATTCTATACCTAGGCAAACTATTATTCAAGCGTGAGAATAGAATAAAGGTGTCAAAAAAGATGCCTCCTTATGCTCACTTTCCCAGAGAGCTGTTACAAGATATGCACTGCCATGATGAGGCGGTAAATCAAGAAGGAAGTCATGAGATCTAAGAAACAACAGCTTTGACACGGAAGAGATGATGGGGAAGGAAGGTTCTGCGAAGGGAGCAGTGGAGAAGGCCCTAAGAGCAGCAAGTTCAGAATGGAAGAGAGAAAGGGGTGCTTCTAAGGGGGAAATGGCCCTGGTGGATTATGTGATGTATTTAATCAGAGTGAGAAGGATTTTAGGGTTTTGTCCTAGTTTAGGGGGGATCTAGTGATAAGTACATAAGTACTCAACAATTAACACTGTCTTTAAGATAGGTACTCAACAAGTAGGAAAAATGACAATTATCACTTCAGGAAAAGCAAACCAAAAAAGTTCAAAAAAGGAATAGTATATTGTTACATAGCTTAGCAGTATATAATAAAGTAAGCACTAAATATTGATCTAATAAAAAACTGTGGTATTTAATATCTTGAGGATGAAGAGAAATATATTTGGGAGGGCAGAGAGTTAAATCCTCCTATTCTTTAACAGAAAGTCAGTAGGTGATGTATGGGTGAGGGGATAAAATGTTTGTGTAAGAGAAGTGTAATATAAAAGTGAAATTTTCATTTTTCATAGTGGAATGCAGTAGACGATATTTAAAACTGGGAAGAATAGGAAAGTTAATATAATCATACTATTTAGAAATATGAAGGTAAAGAAGAAGTTGCTACTGAAGAGCAAATTTGCTTTTTCATTATAAGCCTTATAGCAATTTAGACTTATTAAACAGGACATGTACTTTATTTCTAAAATTTAACATATATGTATTATGTGTGAATTTTTTTGGTTTATATGTTGAAAATTTAAAGGGTGGCATGGCAGAAAGAATTTGGAGCTGTTATGAAGAAATCATACCCAAGGGTCTCCTGGGTGGCTCAGTCAGTTAAGCATTTGATTTCGGCTGAGGTCATGATCTCGCAGTTCGTGGGATTGAGCACCGTGTTAAGCTCTCTTCTGACAGCTCAGAGCCTGGAGTCTGCTTCAGATTCTGTGTCTCCTTCTTTCTGCTCCTCCCCTGCTCATGTGCTCTCTCTCTCTCAAAAATAAATAAACCCTTAAAAAAAATTTTTAAGGAAATTCTAGCCAAAAAAGAAAAGAAACTCTCGTCTTGTAAAATCAAAAATACAAGAAAACAACAACTGTTGACAAGGATGTGGAGAAAAAGGAACCCTCATGCACTGTTGGAGGGAATGCAAACTGGTGCAGCCACTGTGGAAAACAGTATGGAGATTCCTCAAAAAATTAAAAATAGAAATACCATATTATCCAGTAATTCCACTACTGGATGTTTACCCAAAGAAAACAAAAATACTAATTCAAAAAGATATATGCACCCCTATGTTTATTATAGCATTATTTATAATAACCATGATACGAAAGCAACTCAAGCATCTATCCTTAGATGAATGGATAAAGAAGATGTGATGTGTGTGTGTGTGCACACAATGGAATGTAAGATGTCTCTCTCTCTCTCTCTCTCTCACACACACACACACACACACACACACGAATATTACTCAGCCATAAAAAGGAATGAGATCTTGCCATGTGCAACAACATGGATGGACCTAAATGAAATAGTCAGAAAAAGACAAAAGAGATAAACAAAGCAGACTGAAATACAGAGAACATTAACTGGTGGTTGCCAGAGGGGAGGTGGGGGCGGGGGTGGGTGGGGGAGGAGGAATGGGTGAATAGGTGATGGGGATTAAAAGTACACTTCTTGTGATGAGCACCGAGTAATGTATAGAATTGTTGAATCATTATACAGGGTGAATGTGTGATGTTATTAACATAACAGTTATGTTACTTATACTTGGATATAAAAAATAAATTAAAAAAAAATTGTAACCCAGCCTTGACTTTGTCCCTGATCAGCTGCGATTACTGAGCCTTAGTTTCTTCATTTATGAAAGGAAGGAAGTTGGAAAAATGGTCTCCAGGATCTCTTTAAGCTATAATATCCTAGGATTCTATGATAAAAAAAATGATAATGCTATACAGCAAATGAAGAGTTAAGACCTGGGTAGAGGCTTGGAATTGCCACATTTTCCTTTTTTGGTTGAAATCAGACTTGAAGAAAAATGTTCATTGTGGTCTCTGAAAAGAATTCAACACCCACCTTCCATTGTGAAGCCTGAGGCAGGCAATTGACTATGTACTAGCTCAGGGACACATAGCTTAGTGTTATTTCTACGGGTGGTTTTTTTTTTTTATATTTAATATTTTTCAGTATGAATCACAGGTGAAATTTCCATGCCATGTGTAAACAATTTCACTTTTTTATTGAAACAATGAATTCAGGAATGTCACATTGGGATATCAGCCATTTTACTTTTATCAATGTATGGCAAAAAAAATGCTTTTATACTAATATAAGAAATGATGTCATTTAATATGGAGTAGATCTTATAATTCAAGGTCAACAAATCTCAGGAGGTGATTTAGGTCACCAAGCTAGCTTTGGAAAAGAAAAAGAATATTTTCCCTTTGTCTTCTCAAGTATTTCAACCAATTTTGTTCTCAGACTTTGGGGTAGATGGTGGAATAGCATGGTTGTCAGAATGAGGCTCAAGCTAATAATATCTCTGCTATTAAAACACATGGTCCTAGAGAATTTATTTCCCCTTTCTGGGCTTCAGTTTCCCCATCTGCAGAAAGAAAGCAGTGGCTTAAGTAATATTCAGAGTACCTTTCATTTTAATATTCTGTGTTTCTCCTTCCTTACTTCATGTGTATATTCATACCATTCGAGAGATCTGGTTAGGCTTGGGGTTTTCCTTAAGGAGTTAAGGGGAATGAGAGTAAATTCTCTGGTAAGTGTCACTCTTAAGTAAAAAAAATCAGTTAAGTAGTAGATCCAAACAAAAGGAAACTTTGATTTTGTTGTTGTTGGTAGCAGTTTTATTTTTGTTGTTGTTGTTGTTGTTTTTAAGACATTTTTTATCTTTAATAATCTCTCATCCAATGTGGGGCTCGAACTCACAACCCCAAGATCAAGAGTTGTATGCTCTACCGACTGAGCTAGCCAGGATCCCTACTAGTGGTTTTATTTTTTAAGAGAGGAAAATATTTAGAAGTTTGGCTTAGCCACTTTAAATTTAGGTGCTGAAAAAATAAAACTTCAAGACTGATAATTCTTCATGTTAGTATACCAGTATACAGCTTACAAAGTACTTTCTTCTTATCATTTGAAAAATACATTTCTACTGTTGTACATTAACTATGTATTTAATGTTGTGTGTGTGTGTGTGTGTGTGAGAGAGAGAGAGAGAGACAGAGAGACAGAGAGCGAGAGAGCATGCATATGAATATGTGCATATACTTACCTCAGATCTCTGTTATGACCAGTTAAGGAAGCAAGAGGTAGTCAGAGACAGAGTCAGAGAACGCAAGGAACAGACAGATGAAAACCATCTAGCAAGTTTCCCAAGGTACATAGAAGGACCTAATTTTAGAAAATCAACTCCAGCAGAAATAAGTAAAACTAAGTCCAGATCCATCCATAGGCCATACTTTCCTCATACCAGCTCTACAGCTCTGTGGCCTGGTTCTGGACAAAAGGAAAGTTAAGAATATGAGAGAAAACCAGAGCACAGCTTCTATCAAAAATGGCTTGCTATTGGGGCGCCTGGGAGGCTTAGTCAGTTAAGCGTCCGACTTTCGCTTAGGTCATGATCTCGCGGTTCGTGGGTTCGAGCCCCGCGTCGGGCTCTGTGCTGACTGCCAGCTCAGAGCCTGGAGCCTGTTTCAGTCTGTGACTCCCTCTCTCTCTGACCCTCGCCTGCTCACACTGTCTTTCTCTCTCTCTCCTAGAAATAAATAAAAATCTTTAAAAAAAAAATGGCTTGATATTTATTTGTTTAATAAGCATTAGCCAAGCACTAGCACCGTCAGACACTGTTGGGAATTAGAGGTGAACACAACATTGCCCTTGGTTATACAAAGGGAAAGGGTCAGTGAAAGAAGGGCTGAATGTGCCCATAGTATCTACTGCCAGACTTCAGCATTGAAACGAAACACTGGTTTTATAATATATGTCCCTGGAGTTGATGTTAGCAAACCCTGCAGAGCTGTTTGAAATGTGCAGATTCCACAGTTGGCCATTCTTTGACTTCTCCAACTTTAGGAGGCAAGGGAGCAGGAACTGAAGAGGCTACCTTTTAAATACCATCCAGAAAGTATGGTCAACGATATTGGGATCATACAATTACATTTCCTCTTTTAGAGTTCAAAAGGAGAAGAAAAAAACTTAGAGAATGGATCATGTTTAGGAAGCGTTGCCTGGTATCTGCCAGAATTTCTTTTAATTCTGTTTTTCCACCTTTGCAGCTAAGATACCAACATGGACTAGGGACCCCAGACTTGAGGCAAACCCTCCCTAACCTGAAAAACTTCATGGAGCACGGACTAATGGTCAGGTGGTGAGTACCTTTATCTCTGACACTCAGAAATTGGAACGTGGGTAATAATCGGGAGAAACTTTCCTGGCTTCCTCATCCCTCCACACCTGCTTTCTTTACTAAGATACCTGAAGGAAAGGAAAGGCAGCCATTGTGCGTGTGTGGGTCTACACCCCAGCCTGGCTAAGTGGAGTGAAGCACCCTCTGGAAGGGCGTATTGTTTGAACACCAGGAGGTTGGCTGTGTGCACTGGGTGATTCCTGGGTGAGGAATTCTTGAGTGCACTGCTGAGGCAGAGATGGGGGACAGCCAGTGTGATTCACAGAAGGGAGACCAGGAGACCCTGGGACTTCTTTGAAGAGCACACGAAAGACATAACTACAGAATGAGCATCAGGATCAGTGGCTCTGAGAGTTAAGGGAAGAAAGCGGACAACAACTAGGTCAGCTTAGCAGGACCCAGTCTGGGACCAGGAGGCCCACGCTAAATCGTTTCTTATATTTGATGTCAGTGCCTGTTGGTACCCTGGCGGCAAGTTGCTGTGTAGAAATGTATTGTGGGGACAGACAAGTCCTTTACAAAGAGAAGGGGGACAGGGAAATTCTGTTGCAAAGAAGACATTAGGTTGATACACCTGGTTGGCTCCAGTCATTTAGTCATTCTTGAAGTTTGAATTCTTGGATGACGGGCAATAATTTACAAAGTCATGTAAATGGAACTCAAGCCTTAAGAGCTGCAGAGCTGGGCGCAGAATAGTTTCTTCTAAAGAGCACTGGCTTCTCTTCCCACTTCTTTCTCCAGCCTGCTGGGTGAACTTGAAGTTTAACCTCTCTGCAACTTAATTTCCTCATCTGTAATCCCTGCCCTGCTCCTCTCACAAATTTGTGGTTAGACGGAAAAACTATCTGTAGGAAGAAAGGTACAAGATTGGTTTCGTTTTCTTCTGTGCCAGAAGGATAGGCCCTCAGAGTAATGAGAAAGGACATCTTTGACCTTTACGCCGACATTTTTTATTTTTGTCCTCTGTGATCCTCAGCTTGCAAGTTCTGGATGTCTGATCTTAGATAGGACTCCTATTAAGCAAATGCACAATTGTTGAAAGAATTCTACTTAGAATATCAAAATATTTTATAAAAGCTTGGTACTGATATGGACCTGTGTGCCCTGAGACATAAGGGATAGGAATTGAGTCTTAATGTAAATAATGATGAGCCAGCAGACATTAACTCAGTGTTGTCACATTGAGGTTTGAGGATACCCGGTAAAAAGCATCCTTTCTTCCCCTGAATTGTGGAGCCATGTGAGGAGTGACATACAAAAGACAGAGTAATAGAAGTCCAAATGTCAGTTTCATTATTGATAAAGCCTTTTGGAAAATGTGGATTCAGATCTAAAATAAAAAGGGTTTGCAAAGACATCACTCAAAATAAACCTTCCACTCTCGGTTGCATCGTGAACTGGAAAACCCAGGCATTCCTCACAGAGTCAGGCCCTTGACCACTCTGCAGGGAGCAGTCAGAGACTCCTGTAGGAAACCAGGTGGGGCTGAGCCAAGAGAGCCCAAGTTTTACTTTTCCCTCTAAATTCACCCATCAGAAAAGGCCCTTCTCCTCAAAGAGAGAGTGAGAGAATGGAGAGGGGCCAGGAGTGCTACACCTAAATCATGTTCCTTCATAGCAAGAGAAAAGGAAGATACCCCCAACTGTCCTGATATCTGATAGGGTGAGGCTTCTACTTACAGTTCTTCAGAACTTTTTCCTTTTCTTAAGGACTGTATTTGCATGATTTGATACTATGGTACCAAGTCTTCCTTACTGTGAACTTGGTATCTCTTTATATGTTTTCTTTCCTTTTTTTAAAAATGTTTATTATTTTTGAGAGAGAGAGCATGAGCAGGGGAGGGGCAGAGGATCTGAAGTGAGCTCCACGCTAACAGCACAGGGCTCAGACCCACAAACCTCGAGACCGTGACCCAAGCCAAAGTTGGCTAAGCCATCCAGGTGCCCCTCTTGCTGTTTTTTTTTTTTTAATCTTTATTTTTGAGAGAGAGACAGAGACAGGGTATGAGCAGGGGAAGAACAGAGAGAGAAGGAGACACAAACTCCGAAGCAGGCTCCAGGCTCTGAGCTGTTGGCACAGAGCCCAGTGCAGGGCTCAAACTCACAAACAGTGAGATCATGGCCTGAGCCGAAGACAGACACTTAACTGAGCCACCCAGCCGCTCCCCCTTTTCTGTTTTTTAAAAGTACCTCAGTGAAGGTTTAAAATTTTCTTCATAAAGTTCTTATATATCTTTTATTAGTTTCAGGTAGCTTACCATTCTATTTGCTATTATAAATTTTTTATTATAGCATCTAACTTTTTTATGGCTAATAATCAGGAATACCACTGACTTTTATATTTTGCGAGTGTATATAGCAACCTTGCTAACATTAATTACAGTCGTTTGTCTTAGATTATCTTAGATTTTCTATGTATACAATCATCATTTTAGTGAATGACGACATTGTTTCTGCCTTTCAGTTTTTACTTATGTTGCTTTTTCTTGTCTTCCATTTTATTATGGAAGAGGAACACTGATAATGAATAGCCTTGTCTTATTCCTAACTTTACAGAGAATGCTTCTAACTTTTCACTATTACATATTATATTTATTACAGTTTTAGATAGATAGCCTTTATTAGCAAAAGGAAAGTTCTCTTTTCCCAGCTCAACTAAGAGTTATTTTTTTAATCATGAATGTATGTGTTTGGGTTTTTTTTTTCATTTTTTTATTGTTTTAATTCTAATGTAGTTAAAATACAGTGTTGTATTAGTTTCAGGTGTACAACATAGTGATTCAACAATTCCATACATCACCCCGTGCTCATCATAACAAGTGCCCTCCTTAACCCCATCACCCATTTCACCCATCCTCCTCCCACCTCCCCTCTGGCAACCATCAGTTTGTTCTTTTATGGTTGAGAGCGTTTCAAGGGTGCCTGGGGGGCTTAGTCAGTTAAGTGCCCGCTCTTGATTTCAGCTCAGGTCAGATCTTGTGGTTCACGAGACTGAGCTCGATTGAACTCCACATCGGGCTCTGTGCTGACAGATCAGAGGCTGCTTGGGATTCTGTCTCTCCCTCTCTCTCTGGCCCTCCCTTGCTCACATACTCATTCTCTCAAAATAAATAAACTTAGAAAAAAAAAAGAGTGTTTCTTGGTTTGTCTCTCTTGTTTTTCCTTTGTTCATTTGTTTTGTTTCATAAATTCCACATATGAGTGAAATCATATGGTATTTATCTTTCCCTGACTTATTCACTTAATATTCCACTTATTCTAGCTGCACCTACATCATCACAAATGGCAAGATTTCATTCTTTTTTATGGCCAAATAGTATTTTGTGTTTGTGTGTGTATACTGAGTGTGTGTATTTTTAATTTTATAAAATGCTTATTCTGAATCTATTGAGATAACACTATATTTGTTCTCCTTTACTATACTAATGTGTTAGTGTTAATACATTTTCTAATGTTAAGCCATCTTTGCCTGCTGAGATGCACTCTACCTGGTCATGGTATATTATTTTTTCCTATATTATTACATCCATTTTGCTCATTTTTATATTTTACTTTTAATTTTTTTTATTTTTTTAATGTTTTTTATTTATTTTTGAGAGAGAGAGACAGTGTGAGCAGGACAGGGTCAGAGAGAGAGGGAGACGCAGAATCCAAAACAAGCTCCAGGCTCTGAGCTGGCTGTCAGCACAGAGCCTGACACGGGGCTCAAACCCACAAACCATGAGATCATGACCTGAGCCGAAGTTGAGCCCTTAACCGACTGAGCCACCCAGGCACCCCATTTTGTTCATTTTTAGAATATCTACCTCTGTGAACTGATATTAGGCTAGCCTAGAATTTTTCTTTCTCACATAATAATCCTGTCTGATGTGAGTGACACAGTTTTAATAGCCTTATAAAATAAATTGAGGATCTTTCCCTTCTTTTGTATTCTCTGGAACAGTTTATGTAAGGTAGAAATTATCCGTGGCCCCATCTTAGGTCTTCCTCTCTTTTTTTCTCTCTACTGTTGTCTCATGTGATCTCATCCATTCCCTCTTTGGGAATCATCTGTATGCCTATGACCCTCAGAGTTACACTTTCATCGTGACTGTCTCCTGACAACTGTGGGTCGCCAGAGATCAACTTGACACCCCCTCCCCCCCCACCGTGGAGTATCACAGGTGCCTCAGCCTGGACATACCTGCGAGCGGCCTACCTCCCCCTTCCTGTCCGCAGACGCTCACACCGGCGCATGATGCTTGATCTCCCTCCCGCCAGATACAGTCTGATTCAGCAGCAGACCCCGTTGTCTCTCCCTACAAAGAATATGTGGAACCCTACCTCTGCCCTCCATCCCCCCGTGTCTGTGACAACCACCCCAGTCCAGGGCACCACCTTCTCCTGCCTGACACTGCACTAGTCCAGTTTTTCCCCCTCATTTCACTCTTGTCCTGTCTCTCTTCATTCCCCACAGTAGCCAGAGTGGTCTTTTTACATTTCAGCTGCATCTTCATCACTCCCGGTCTCAGTGGCTAGAACAAAGTGGAGGCTCTTTCCCACAGTCCCCCTGCCCTGCCTCCCCACTGCCTCCTCTGGCTCCACCCTCCTCTCAGGGAGGGTTGCTGTCTGGGCCTCCTCTTGTTACGTAAACAAGGTCTTTCTTGACCCGATGATCCTCTTCCTTCTCTCCCACCACCGTTCTCACCTCCCCCTCATAGGGAGTGGTCTTAGAAGAGACACAGTAGCTTTATTGGCAAAGGACAGACCACCTTGGCTAGCATATGTGTCCACATTAGGAACAGAGAGCCTGTATGATTTGGGAACCCTTTTCAAGAAAAAGAATACAAAACTGTAAATACAAAATTAGAAAAAATGTAAATACTTAAAACGGAAAACAAAATGGCAACAAATTACTGGAACTGGAGAGACTGGATTCCTTTCTTCTGAGATCTCTTTAGACAGTTTACCCAAGATGCTTAC